TACAGAAACGTTCATTTATTTTGCAGTTTCTTGTAGACAACACACTGGGGGATAGCATTCCATCTGAGAGGTGGTTGAGATTCATTACTTAAAACAGTCTGATGTAATAAGTCACTGAGCTCAGAGAATCTCCTCTTTGGGGCCCCTCCAGTGTTTGAGTCCCTGGAGTTCAGGGCCCTGCTTCCCCAGGAGGCTTAAGGCTTAGAGGGAAGAGTGTGCGGGGTCAAGGCTTCTGACGGGACAGGGCTGCGCTGCCCAGAGTCCCAGTGCTTTGCTATGTAAGAAGAAGGTATATTTTGTACTAAAACAGTAAACATTGTCCCCACCTCAAGTGTTCTGTGATAATCCCAGAAGGTGGCCTCCCCTGTGGTCCTCAGCTCTGCGACCCCTCACTGCTGAGATTCCTGTCAGGTGGGGGCTGCTTCCCACGGCAGCGGGCCTCCTGTGTGCTTCAGGGAGGAGGTGGGGAGAGCCATCTAGGGACAAAAGAAAGGGAAGCCGCAGAGGCCCGAAACGAACAGATTTGCTGGAGATTGGCTTGGAAATATTTGCTAAAGCTCCAGAGCTAGGAATGCAGGGAGAGCTCACACTGTTCGCTGGGCACGGGTCCAGCGACGCGCTCTGTTGTGTCAGTCCGCACTAACATGCGGCTTGTGTTTTTCTCGCTTCAGGGAGTTGGAAAAGCAAAGGGAAAGCACAGCCACTGACATTCTGCAGAAGAAACAAGAGGCAGAAGCCGCTGTAAGTGCTGCGCGGACACGTCCCCAGAAGTCCTTCTGCTCTGGGTGACTCCGGCCACACGCCTCTCACCGGGGCTCGGGGGTCACGGCGCCCTCCGCACGTGGGCCTCGGGGGCCGGCAGCTTCAGTGGTCATTTCGGTCTTTCTAATCCCTGCGGGATACAATCCCAGGACCTCCAGGCCCGGTCCTGAAGATGAGATGCAGTTACCCTCAAAAGGCGTAACAGGGTGTTTCTAAGAACCGGGGGGCCCTGTCTGTCCTCTCTTCCTTCCCTTTAAGTGAACTGTTGTTAGGTGACAGAACAGAAGTGTCCAGCATAAATGCAGGGGTACCACTGAGTTCTTTGTGAACAGAGGAGGGGCGAAAATGCAGCCAGGCTCGTGGCTACAGCTGAACCAAGAGGCAGAGCCCAGGAAGGACCCTGACAGTGGCCCTCCTTGTTCTTTGCAGGTTAGGTTGATGCAGGAATCTGTCCGAAGAATAATTGAGGCGGAAGAGTCCAGAATGGGTGAGAAGGCCTGGCCTCTCTCGGGGCAGGGTGGGCACTGGGGGTCTCAGAGGGGCACAGCACCCCTGCGGTCCGGCTCTGCGAGGGCTGCCCAGCCAAGACCCGCCTCTGCTCAGACTGGGTCCATCCTCAGGGCTCATCATCGTCAACGCCTGGTACGGGAAGTTCGTCAACGACAAGAGCAAGAAGAGCGAGAAGGTAAAGGTGATTGACGTGACCGTGCCCCTGCAGTGCCTGGTGAAGGACTCGAAGCTCATCCTCACAGAGGCCTCCAAGGTACGGGGCCTGCCCGCGGGGTTCAGACACGAAAGGCCTGTGTGGAGTGGGGGCGGCCTGGCACCTCGGCATGGCCCTTTCGTTGTGGTGGAATCATTCGTGTCGCTGGCACCGGCTTGGCCTGCTGCCCAGCACCCGAGTTATAGTCTCACCGGAGCTGTTCGCGTCATCCGTCCCCGCAGCAAGGATTTCCTGAGCACCTACTGTGTGCCCGGTAGGGCAGCGAACAAAACATACATCCTGTCTTCACGGAGCTTACATTCTCCTCATTCCTTGCCTTGTTCTAGAAAGAGTGTGAGATCTGTAGAACGTTGGAAGCACATGCTGGAGCGCAGGGGTGGGGACGGTAAAGGCAAACTAAAATGCAGATCAGCTCAGGCCAAACACCTAGCAGATCAGCTCAGGCCAAACACCTAGCTCTCTCAGGAGTCCTGACGGGGCTTCTGTGAAGACAGGGGTCTCTAGCGTGGGAGAAGGGGTCTTTATTGCGAGGGAAGCCTAGGACTAAACAGGCAACCTTCTGACAATCTCAGCTCCACGGTGGGCATCTTCTGTGGACGGCTCCTGAGGGAAAGTCAAGGCCCTTCCACGCTGATCCTCAGGTGGCGGCAGACAGCAGTGGTGCTGGGCTTGAAACAACAGTGTCGGGTCCCGTGGAGTAAGACTGGGTTTGTTACAGGCGGGGCTGCCCGGGTTCTATGACCCGTGCGTAGGTGAGGAGAAGAACCTGAAAGTGCTTTACCAGTTCCGAGGCGTCCTGCACCAGGTGATGGCACTGGACAACGAGGCGCTTAGGATACCAAAGCAGTGTGAGTAGCTGTCCCTTTGCAGTCACCTGCCCTGTGCACGGACCAGGGGGAGGCCCTCAACCGCTGATGGGGACCGGGGACACCAGAGTGTGGAGTGACAGCTTCCCTGTGTTACCCGCCTGGGAGCGAGTGACTTGCTCAGAGCCCATGATGGGATGCCCTGAGGAGGGGTGGCGGCCGCCCTTCCCATGTGGGACTCCAGTGAGCTCTTTGCTTGGAAACTGCAGCTTGGGTGGCTGGGCCGGAAGAACACCCAGCTGCTTCTATATGTTCCAGAACCATTTGATTCTCCGCAGCTTCTACTCTGCCTCTGGTCAGGTGATGGCTGAACCCCTTCAGTGGAAGAAGGGCATGGAAACAGTTGCCTTTTGATACATTCAGTTTGTCCTGTCTTTCACAGCTCACAGGATCGATACAGATGGATAAACTGCTTGAGAAACCAGATTTACAAGAGGCTGCAAAAAATCCTTTCCTAGGAGTCTACAAATTCAGAAGCAGGGAAAAAACCCAGACATCAGATGTGTTTATTTTCTATTATTCCTAAAGAAGGTGGTACCGTATCAGTTATGTGGAGGGACACACAGACACCCTGCTTTCATGGGTGCTGTAGGTAGGACTGAGGCAGCCCCACCTGGACCAGAACCACAGCACGGCCTGTGGCTGTTTGCCCAAGGATCATGTCCCTGGAGGGAAGGGCCCTGGGCTCTGGGCTCTGGGCCCTGGGCCCTGGGCCCTGGTCCCCAGCCCCCTAGGCTCCTGAGCCCCGCGTGCTGACTGCAGCCACCCAGTAGCGCTCGGTCTTGAGGTATTTATGGAACATCCTGCCCTCACACATAGGACTGTGAACTACTTTTCCTAAAATCCACACTGAGCATGGAAAACAAAATGGAAAGCAAGGAAGTTGTTCTCATGACTCCAGAACAAGTGAGCGTCTGTTAGTCAACTTCCCAAAAACCACTTTTTCCTGCTGAAATATTATTCAGTGAAGCTGGAGAGGATTGTGTGGGTTTATAAATCTGCTTTTTATCTGAGAACGAATGGTTTTGGAAATTAGTGTCTTTTTTCCCCCCCTCCCAGAACTTCTCGAATCATTCCACTGGTACGTGGCTTGGGACAGAGTAGTATAACCCCCCGGCCCCAGGGCCCAGCCCTGTCACCGGTCACTTCCTCCCAGGGGCCACCTGTATCCTTGTGGCAAAAGGCAGATGCGAGCTAAGCCATGTCCCTTGCATCCCGCCCCCCATGGCTCAGCCCGACCTGCCTCTGCCCCCGCCCCCCACACACACACACTGGAGCCCAGAAACGGAGAGAGGCTCGGAGGAGAGGGCAAGCATGGGGCGGGGACTGACTGAAAGGACCCTGGCTCAGGTTCGTGCCAAATCCCCCCACGCTGGGAGAGCAAGGCCAGCCAGAGGCTCGCTTGCTCTCTCATGCGCGGCCAGCAGGTGGCACAGCTGCTCCCACACCTCCTCCCGCCCCGCTCCCTCCTCAGGGGACTCTGGTGGCGGCTCCCAAGCCCCTCTTCTTTCACTTGCCTTTTCTGTGGATGCAGAACATTTTAGAAGCCAGGAGGCCCTGGCTGGCGGTGGTTCTGACAGCGCCCCCACCCCACCCCCGCAGCTATTGCTAAAATCAGGCTCTGCGGTGGTACCGGAGTAATGGCTGATACCCACTTCCTCCAGTTTTCAAAAACAGTTCAGGTCGTCCAATTCTGTAATATTTATCTCCATTTGATAAAAGTTTTTCTCTGAGCTGCAGCTCTGAATGTAAATCGTGCAATAAGCGTGGCGTGAACTCTCTGACTTTGGACGCGGCCATTCGTTCCCTCCACGGCAGGTGGCTCTTTGGGGCACCGATTCTCTTAATTTTGTCTGAGATGGACTGTACAGAAGGCACTCTCTTACCACAATAAACCTTTCCTGAAAACTGGGGAGAGTTTCAGTGCATCTGTATGTTCATTTTCAGGGATGAGCAAAATACGTAGGTGATAAGAGCCCCCTCCTCACACCCTCATTCCATCCTCCAGCCTTCACTGTTGAAGCCCCATTTTTAAACACGAGGCTGAACTGGAAGCCGTGGTTCAGTTTTCCATATGCGACCTCTGCCTGAGAAACAGGAGTCCAGGGTCAGGAGATGACTTAGGCTAGGATCGTTGTTTTCCTGGAGGTGCTGTGGTGTAGTTTGGTTTGGTCTGAGTGTTCCCAGATCCAAAAAAATCACCTCTCAGGTTTTTCGGATCCCTTCGGACACATCTTACCAATGGCTGCATAAAATGGAGCTGAAGCCCAGAGGCTCAGACGCCTAGTTCCCGGGGAAGGGGCGGGGCCAGCCCGCTGCAGAGTCCTCGCCGGTTGCGCTTTCTGCTTTACGCCTTTTGTCACAAAAGTGAAAATCCTGTTCAGATTTCCTTAGGTTAGCGAAAGCAGGTACTAACGCAGGTCTTTTGTAAAAGCAAATGGTGCAACACAGACTCTCAAGAAACACGGGACACCTGTTCTAGTGTATAAATAAAGGGAGGAAAACCGGCAGCGTAGGACGACACTTTATTCTGTCCGTCACTCACCCAGGCCCCGGGGAGGCCCGCCGTCACCCCCTCTCGTGTCCTTCCCTGGGCCCCGCTGCCCCCAGGGAAACGCACTCGGTCCCCATCGGCTCAGGACGCCTCCTCACACCGCGGTGCTGAAGACGCCCGCCCAGCTTCCGTCGGAAGGACAGGTGGCCCCCGGCCCCCCCGGGAGGACCGAATCTGTCCTGCCCGCGGTCCCCTTCCTGTCCCAGGCCGATGCGGCTGCACCTGCCCTGAGGTGGCTGGTGGTGGGCCTGGCCTGCCTCACTGTCACTTCAGGGTCCACGGCCCGAGCCCCAGAGGCGCTGACAGGAAAGCCTGGCCGCCCAGCTCGGCTCTGTGGCTGCGGCCGTGGCCTGGCCTGGAGTCCCGGCTGCCCCGCTCTGTGGGCACGGAGGCGGCTGGACATCCTCTGTATCACCAGCCTCTGGGCCTTCAAGCGCTTTCGGAGCTTTTCATTTTCCTTCAGAGTCAGGAAGAGTTTTGTTTTTAGGGCATCTAAGTCCAAAAGGGCGTAGCTGTGATCCGACGGCTGTGTGGGGCTGGCCGGCTGACTGGGGGCCGAGATTCCCTGCAGTCTCTGCGGCAAGCCCTGAGGACAGAGGCGAGTGAAGGCAGAGCCGAGCCCGGGCCCAGCATAGCTGCCACCGCGGGACAGCGACAGGCGGGGGCCGCGGGAGGCACGGCGCAGACTCGGCCCGGCCCCCCCCCCTCCCCCCAGCGCTCCTGAGATCAGGGCCACGGGCCAGGGTGCTCGTGGCCTGGGCACCAGTTTGCTTCATTTTGTTTGAAGCGAATCCCCGTGTGCAGAGACCGACCAACCACCTGCTGCCTTCGGGCCTTACCTGTTCTGCGGCGCCGCCGGCGCTCGGGGGCAGCACTTCGAGGGCACTGTCCGTCCTTCTCCCCGGGCCGCACTCTGCCAGCCCCGCCTCAGGCACGACCTGGGGACAGCAGGGCAGAAGTGGGCAGCCCACCAGGAACCCTTCCCGCTCTCCCGGCAGGGGCCACGGCCAGGGGACCAGCAGAAACAAAACAGCCTCCCCCATCCCGGGCCTGGGATCAGACCCTCAGAAAGCAGGCACGAGCCAGCCCTCCAAGCAAATAGGGAGGAAAACACAGAATCCTAAACCTTGGTTTGTGAGGAGAGCACGACAAAGCCGTGCAGGCCGGGCGTCGGCGGGGGGGAGGGGGGGGGCACGTGCACCCCCCGGCGTCTGCGCCGAGGCCTCAGTCCTGACTTGGGGAGCACCAGCGCACACTCACCTCCTCCTTGTAAGAGTCCACATTTGCATCCTCGCCGGCCAGGTCCGCGTTCTCCCTCACCAGCTGCAAGAGACACAGCACTGTCCACAGGCTCCCCAGGGGTGGAGCAGGTCACCCCAAGAACCCCCGCCGGCACCACCCACTGGCTCACTCTCCCCAAAGCTGTCCCCAAATCTTAGGTCAGAGGCCCATGAACAGGACCCGTGAAGCCAGGGGCCTGATTCCTATGTTTCCCCCATGGCCTGACATTCTAGGTACATAGGAGGTGACTCAAATTTGACTCAAGGAGTGGCAGCCACCTAGGAGAGAACATCTGACTCAGGGCCTGCTGCCAGTGCCCAGGCACCCCCGGAGCTGAGCCCCCAGCCACGGGGCCAGAACCAGCGGCCCCTACCCCTAGCTCCTGGCCCCGGGCACCGACAGCCCCCCAAGTTGTTAAACTAAACTCGCTTCACATCTCACCACAAAAGCATGAGAAGTGATCAAGCTCCACTAGCAACGGGCACTGACGGAGGAGGGGGCTAATCAGAAGGCAGTGTCAGTCCAGCAGGACAGTGAGGTTCTAGACCCCGCCACACAGCCCCGTGCCCGTAGTTAACAGCACGTACCGTACACTCAGAAGTTTGTCAAGAGGCTAGATCTCATGTTAAGTGCTCTGACCGCAATAAAAATCAAATACATATCAACTGAAAACAAAAGGCCTTCCATGTTGACAACAAAACCTCCTCGGTGTTGGGAGTAAAGCTGTGAAACAAACCCCTGCCCTCAGGGAGCCGACCAAAGAGAGAAGCTGAGCCAGAGCAAACGCACGTGTGGCCCCTGCTCATGGAGCCAGAAAGAGCCAGCACGACGGAAAGCCAGGCGAGCAGGGGGACAATGGACAGCGGTCAGGGGGTCCCTCCTCCAGGGGATGTGAACATGGACTTAGATGGGAGGCCACGAGCCTGCAGATGGGCACAAAGTTCGGACGGAGGGCAGGCGCCCCGACGCAGGGCCTGCTGGGCACATGCACTCAGGCTTCCTCACCCCTGTTAACTGCCTTCCCTCTCACGCACAGGTACCTGCTGGCCTTGCGTGCCCGGTGTGACGCCCGCACTCTGGGACTCAGGACACCTTCGGGACTTAGGAAATTCAAGATAATCCCCCTCGGGGCCTCCACGTCCAGCTGTCCGTGAGCTCTCCCCTGAGCCGCCCCACAGAGCCACGGCCACTCCAGTGTCCCGCTGGGAAATCAAACTCCAGATGCACAGGGCCAAACCCAGAGAATCAGGGAACCCCATCCCCCAGGGGCTCAGCGAGCTCGGCCCTTGCCGACCACCACCCTCTCAGCCCACTGGGCCTGCAAAGGCCACCCGCTCTCCCGACCACACCCCCCTTTAGCTCAGGCCACCGCGACGGCACCTGCGACACCACCGGCTCCAGCCAGAGGGAGCCTTCTCCCCTCACCCGACAAACCGCAGCCTCTGCCAGCCTGTCACCATCGGCCCCTGCCACCCTCCAACCAGCCAGAGCTGACGCTGTCGGCGAGCGGGCCCAAATCCCTTCCAGCTCCAAGTCTGGGCCACGCGGCCCCCCGACCTCCCTCCAACTCTCCCCCTGCCTCAGCCTTCTACGCCCGGCCCAGAGCTCTCAGCCGGCACGGCACCTGCCGGGTGGGAGTGGCACAGCCTCCGGCTTCCTGACCACAGCTCCCGGCCCCGGCTGCCTACTCGGAAGAAAAAGACAAGGTCTGAATGCAACACGGCCACCACCTTCCACTGGGAAGGGTCTTCACTGTGCGGCCTCAAGCCACGTGACGCCCAGCAAAAATGAAATGCATGTGGGCGCCTGGAGGGCTCAGTCGGTGAGGCATCTGCCTTCGGCTCAGGTCATGATGCCAGGGTCCTGGGCGAGCCCCGCATCGGGCTCCCTCCTCAGTGGGGAGCCTGCCTCTCCCTCTGCCTGACGCTCCCTCTGCTTGTGCTCTAATAAATAAATAAAATCTTTAAAAAAAAAAAAATGAAATGCATAGAGGACCAAGCTTTTGGTGCACTTGCCAGTCAGCTGCTTCAGCAGCTTCTGGTTGTAGGGCATGATTTGGGGTGGCGGGGGGAGGGAAAGAGGAAGAGAGAGAGAGAGAGAATCCTCAATCAGGCTCCAAACCCAGCACAGAGGCTGACCCGGGGCTCGATCCCACGACTCTGAGATCATGACCTGAGCTGAAACCAAGAGCCAGACACTTAACCAACCAACTGGGGAGCCACCCAGGTGCCCCCTGCGTGATCTGTTTTTAAAGGGGCGTTATTTTTTTTTTAATTTTTTTTTAAAGATTTTATTTATTTATTTGACAAAGAGAGCACAAGCAGGGGGAGGGGCAGGAAGAGGGGAGAAGCAGACTTCCCGCTGAGCAGGGAGCCCGATGTGGGGCTCGATCCCGGGGGATCCCAGGACCCCGGGATCGTGACCTGAGCGGAAGGCAGACGTTTAACGACTGAGCCACCCAGGCGCCCCTAAAGGGGCTTTAAATTGCAAACGACCTACAGCAAAGGTCGTGGCCAGCAGGGCAGCTGGGCTCTGAACCCCGAGGGGCTACCCTCACCGCACTTCTCAGCCTGCAAACACCATGCCCGCCCCAGCTGCTGGCTGCACCCCTGCAGGCCGGAGATGAAGACATTAGAGGTGGTGCCGTGTTCACCTGCACGGCATTCTGAAAGGCGAACACTGTGGGCACAGCATTCTGCTTCAGGTTTTTGCGGTTTCCAAAGGCGCTGAAGCACTCGGGTCGGAAGTGCTCGGAGCAGATGACTGTGTGCTGCTTGGGCTTGAAGTTGCCCCGGCCGATGTTCAGCACCCATTCCTTCAGCAGCTCTGGGCGGCTGAACGGGAACCTAGGAGGCAAGGGAGACATGAAGGAATTTGCAAGGCTCAAGTTGGCACTGCAGAGTTGTATGGAATTTTGAAAACACCACATGGCATTTTACTGGACAGCTTGGAAAATTCAGTGACCTCCCTCTGTTAAACCATATCCAATTTCTGGAAGCTTCTGTCATGCCTGGTTACAGCATTCTCGGTAGGCAATGTGGGGCCACAAACGTGGCCAGAAAAACTTTCCAAAGGTATACTTGCAGGGTAAGCCTGTTAGTGCCTCGGGGAGTCCGCCGTGTCCAGGCCCTGCCCCTGGCTCTGGGAAGTAGGAATGAGTAAGTCCCACCCTCCTAGAGCCTACATTCTAGAACAGGAGAAAACAGACAGTAAACCAAACAGACATAGATTGCGTAGGACTTGAGTAGGAAGTGGTCAGGAAGGCCTCCCGAGAGGTGACATCTGAGCAGATGCCGCAGGAAGCAGGAAAGCGAGCCGTGTGCGTATCAGAAGGAAGAGCAAGAGCAAAGGCACTGTGACAGGGGAGCCCAGCATGTCGGGGGTGTGGTCAGAGGCGGGTTTGGCTGAGAGGGTGGGAGCAAGAGCAGGGGTGAGGACCTCAGGAGGCAGGCCTCGGGCAGGTGGGCAGTCCCTGGAAGCTCTGGGCTGAGGGTGAGAGAGGAGGGCGGGCACCTGGTGGCTGCGACCCGGGTGTCAGCGGAGGGGTCATGAGCAGGCAGACCTGGGATGTATTTTGAAAGCTGTGCAATAAGGTTTGCTTGTGAGCCGCAAAATAAAGAGAAGGAAGGAGTTTTGTGTATTAAGATGGGAGGGGAGGCACTGTAGGAGGGGCAGGCCTGGGGGATCAGAATTTAGGTTCTATTTGTTAAATGTGAGGTGCCTTTTACATGACCAAGTGCTGAAGTGCAGCAGCAAGGGGCACGTGTCAGGAGACGTCAGCGTGGGGACCGTCCCTGTGTAAAGGGTGGCGAAGCCTGGGTGAAATCAGAGCCCTGGGGAGTGAGTGTGGATGGGGAGGACACAAGGCCATGGCCCTCCCCCAAAGGGCTCCAAGGCTAGCACTGGAAATGAGGAGGATCCAGCAACGGAGTCTGAGAAGGGACACTGTGATAGAGGAAGAGGTCAGAGGGGGGCCCTAGAGGCCAAGTGGGGAGTGTCACGAGAGGTCAGTGGTCGGCTGTGCCAAATGCTGCAGAGAGGTTGCTTCGGATGAGGATGGACCAGCACTGAGCAGGGCCACCGGGGACTTGGCAGAGCTCCTCTGCGGGAGTGGCAGGGGCCAGAGTCCGACTGGAATGAATTCCAGAGGTAGCCGGAGGCAATTCCACTCCTGGGATGTGCCCAACGGAAACGAAGAGAGACACAGGCACAGGAAGACTTGTCCCAGCGAAACTGTCCCCGGTCCTGTGCTTGTCATGGCCAAGACACGGGGGCCCCCAAATGCCCTTTAAGTGTAAAACAAGTCAGTTCTGGTATATTCATTCAGCGGAGCCCCTCGAGAGATGGGGAGGAAGGACACCCAGGTGACTCACAGCCATGAGCAGAACACACAAGGAAAGCACCATGGTGCTGGACTCCTCATGCCAAGTTCCACACAGGCCAAAGCGCCCCACTCTGACCGACAGAAGGCAGGATCCGGTCACCCTTGGGGATGAGAGGGAACAAGGGGCTGGAAGGGGGTGCAGCGGGGGGCTCCCTAGGGGCTGGTGATGTTCGGATTCACAGCAGTCACACAGGTGTTCGCTTTGCAGAATGGGCTGGGCTGTGGACTTACAATTTGTGTGCTTTTCTGTAGGTCTTATACTTCAATGAAGACATTCACTTTGAGAAGGAAAATGGTGATGGGTGGGGCAGTGGAGACAGAGAGTGCAGCTGGCCTCGGGGGTCGTGCTCTAAGGGGCAGTGGCTGGAACCTGAGCTGTGCGGTGCAGGGAACGAGTACCCACCAGGGCCGACGCCCTGGGAGCCCTGGGAGCCTGACGACAGACTCCAAAACCTCCCGCCAAGTCCGCGCGGCCGGCCCCGCTCTCCCAACACCCTGGGACATTCTCACTCCTCCACTCCCCCACTTGCTTCCTGACAGGAGGCCAGGCCGGGGACGAGCAGAGTGGCCAGCGCACCGCAGGCGCACCGACGGACGTCACCGTCGCTCATTCATTCGGAAATGCATTCAGCCAGTAGGTACTGAGCACCTGCTACGTTCCAGGCTGCATCTGTAAACAAGATCACGTCCGGGGCGGGGGGTGACACCCCCGGAACTGCAGAGAGTGCTAGGGGCTGCGGGGCGCGGCCTGGGGATGGGGCGGCCCACCCCGGCCTCCTCCACACGCCACCGCCCCGACCGACCGCCGGGGAGGCTGGGCGCCTTCAGCAGGTTGCTCAGCCTCTCCGACAGTCTCCCCACGGGCCCAAGCCGGCCGAGGCGGCGTCCGGCCGCCGGTCACCCCGCCTGTCCCCGGGCCGCCGGCCCCTCCGCGAAGGGGCCAGCCGCACCCCTGGAGCCTCCCCCGCGGCCGGGCAGCGGCACGGCGTCCCCGCCCGGGGCGCCAGGCCTCGGGCTCCGGCGGGGGCCGCGGCCGCTCGGCCGGGACAGGCGGGTCGGCAGCCGGGCCCCCGCACCCCACGGCGCCCCCGCCCCTCACCGGTGGAAGGTGAGCTGCTTCCTGCGGCTGCTGTAGCGGTTGCAGCACTGCCGGGCCGCGCACGACTTCGGCATCTCTAGAAGCCAGGCCCAGCTGCCCCTAACAAAGATGGCGGCGGCAAGCCTGCGGGGCGGGGCGGGGCGGGGCGGGGCCAGCGGGCGGGGCGGGGCCTGCGGACCCGAGCAGGACTGCGGACGGGGCGGGGCTAGGGAGCGGGGCCGGCGAGCGGGGCGGGGGCCGCCGGAAGGCGGAGGCGGGCCCGCCTCCTCTCTGCTCCTGGGTCACCTCCTCGCGCGCTCCCTGTGACGCGCATCACCCGAGTCAGGTGGGCTACGGGGTACCACGACAAGGGGTGCTCCCAGAGCCAGCGCCGGCCCGACACCCCCAACAGCGCCGCGGGTGCGAGCTCCACCCCTTCGCGAAAGCCCGGGGCCCTCGCCTCCTTGCTTTGAGGAGCCAAGGCACACCCACCAACAGCCTTGGACACCTGGAAACTAGAGAAGGGCTCACCGCCCAACCTGGCCAGTATTTCCAAGATTCTAAGGTGTTGGTGCGTAGATTCTGGCTGCTCGAAAGGAGGTACTAGTTGACTACTAGTGGGTCCCAGATTAGAGGCGGGCAGACACAGCTGAGTGACAGAAAAAGCACAGGCGATGGTGGGGACCCCCAAGTGTAAAGGGGCAGAATGAGCACTCCTGGGAGACGGCAAATCTGCTTGCAGAACCTCGGAGGAGGCTGCAGCTTTTAACAAAGCAGGTAACCACTCACTGGGGCTTAAGCTAATCCACAGCATGATGAAACTGCGAAAGCTATTCATGTCTATTCATACTGTGGTTTGATCCTGGAGAATTTACTAGAAAAGTGTACGAAAGGTTGTGGGCACGCTTCATCCTGCTAAACCAACTCAGACTTTACCTCCTCAAGTCTCTATGTCATCATGGTTTGGGAGAGGTGATAAAGGGAGCAGAAACACCACTGTCCTCCCCCAGAGAAAACAAACACCTGAAGCTAGGCATGAACCTCAAAGTAGCAATATATTTATTTACAAAATATACAGTTTCACAGAAACAGCTTCGCTTTATACACATAAACTTTATAATCACACAGAACCATGTAAACGATGTTAAGTGTCTGGCCTGGCCAATGCCAATGGGAGAGGCTTACTCTTGGGGTGACATCTTTCCCTCCCCTCACTCTATTAGCCACCAACCAGGAGCCCCTAGATGGGCCACGCCTAATTTGCATAAAGCTGATTGCAGCTGCCCAGCTCAAGCTAACACAAAAACCAAGGTGTCCTGACTTCCTAGACACCACCCACAGGGATAGAGATCTGTTAAAAGAACAAAAAGGAAATGAAGGAAACAGATCGAAATGACTATTAAGTACCTTCCAGAGGTGTCACCAGGCATCGAACCTTCTAAAAGCAATACAGCAATCGCCAGGCCTGGCAGTTCCACTCTAAAATCACACATATTCTTAAATGCACTTTTAAAACTTCGTGGAGTTTTTTTAAAAAAAGAAAAACACTTTGGAACTTTGGCTATTTCTCATGGTGAAGACACTGGACAGGCAATGTCGTGGGGCAGATCTTTGGCAAATTCCTCTCCAACTTTTCCTGGACGTTTGCCCTCATCAGAGCCAGACAGCTGTCTGAGGAGAAGGTGGTTTCTAAGCCCGCTTCTTACTATTTTTCTCTACAGCAGAACTTCTCCCTTGGGGATCTTCACAATAAACTGGGTTTCAGAAACTATTTCTCTCTATTTCTGTGTTAATATAAGCAACAGAATTAAAAACAAAACACAACAAAAAGCAGCTGGCTGGTGAAGCATGAACGATACTAGCGCAGAACATGGGCTCCGATCAGCCAATTAGAGTTCAAGCCCCCTTTGTGCCTCAGGGAGAGAATGTGAAGAGTCCCCGGGGGAGCCCAGCACGAGGGTGCCACATGAAGAGCCCAGCAGAGAGACCAGGGGTCCACCCTGCTTTAAATAAATAGGACCAATTTGGGCATTCTTCCCTTTTCATGCTTCACGAGAAACAATGTGTATGAAAACACACCCATCTACTTACCAAAAAAAAAAAAGTTTTTGAGAAGAGTATTTGAACTGCTAAAGAGCATTGTCAACTCTGGAGAAAGTGGGAGCCTTCCTGTCCCTGCGGGCCCCAGAGCCACTGGCGCCACCGGCGGCAGCCCAGGTATACGGCCCTCGGACACAGCCCTGTGCGAGCTATAGGCACAAACTCCTGGGCTTCTCCAGGGTGGGCTGGCACCGGAGGCTCCCCGGTCCAGGTCCCAGTTCAGATCAAAGTAAGTCTGCACAGTTCAGTGGTATAATCCTGGAGGCCAATGTTACCATATCGCTCACTCGCCAATTTCAAACCAAAAAAAAAAAAACCAAAACAAAACAAAACAAAAAAGGCTTCAAATCCTAACCTTGCCCCGGGAAACCAGCAGGCCAGCCTGTATGAGGGCATCCTAAGAATAAACCACAGGAGAGGCCTTCCCTTCCAGTTTTCTCTACCTCATGATGTAGAGGAACGCCGTTCCCGTGACTGCCTAACCTTTACGTTGCTACTGGAACAAGGTGAGGGAAAGAGAGCAGGACAGAATCCAAGTGCCCTCTCACTTGAAAACAGCTCGCCTGGGCACCCCTAGGACCTCATACACCAACTGGAAAGGGCACCCCGGCAGAAATCTGCCAATACTTTTGGCTATATCGTGCAAAAAAGACAGGTTTTTTACATCGTGCAAAACAGGAAACTGAGTTATGAACATGGGCCACCTCAACCCCCCAACCAACCCCTTTCCCGCCAAGAAGTGGCCACACACTGTCCCTTTTAACAAACAGAAGGAAACTGAGGGATCACTAGCTAGCCACTGCCCCAGGGCTCCGCTCAGAGTGAGACCAGAGGACTCTAGCTGGCAGCCTGCAGGGACAGACAGACAGCAGCCAAGGCAGGGAGAGGGCAGGCCGCGAAGGTAGGGGCAGCTCGATGGTTGCTGTACAGACACTTAGGGTCAAAGACTTACACTTGGGAAAAAGCTTACACGTATGGCTGTTCGTTAACAGGCCTGGGAAACTGAACATCTCCTCTCCCAAGACAGTGGAAGCAGGAAAACAGCTAGCGCTGGTTCCAGCCGACGGAGTTTGTTAACAATGATAGCAAGAATTCACAACTACCACGTACCCTCACTTTCAGCCGAACCGAACCCACTGTACTTGGGTGGTGAGCCCCCCTCCACTGCAGAGAACACAGCTCTAGCAGCAGCTTTGGCCAACGAGGATTTTATTCAGTCACTGGCAGATACAGGTCCTACCTCGGACAGCCTGCCCTTTTGCTTAGGCACCTGAATGGCAGGGGTCTGCCCGCACCAGAGCTGAGAGTTCTGTGCTCAACTAAGAGGAGCCAAAAGGCCCCTCGTCCCTTCTGATTCCTCGCCCATGCTCTCCTCGCTCACCAAGTCAGTCCAGAAACAGTTTCCGCGAGCCCATTCGGGAACGGTTGGAGCGGCGGATGTCAAACTTGGAGTCCCGGCACTTTTGGCAGACAAACACTTCCGGAACATTGGATTTCCGTATTTTCGCACAGGACAGGTGGATCCAGGTATGGCACTCGTTGCACTCTATCATAGGGCGGCCGGCAAACGGCTTCATGCAGAAGCAAGTGACGAGGTCCCAGGAGTCGTCATCTGAAGGGAGAGACACGTGTGTGAAGAGGAGAGAAAACACTGCCTGCACTCCCTCCCCCAGCAAAGTCCCTCCCCCCACAGCCCCCGGGGGTGCAGGGGGCAGAGCAGCTGAGCTGCAGTGAAGCCTGATCCTCAACACACACACACACACACACACACACACACACTGAAGGGCAGGGCAGTGGAATAAATGCGTGACCAAGGACACTGAAATGTGTGGCACCAGGAACTAACTGTGAGGTGTTTACCGAGAAGCTATATTTATTTTTATATTTTGAGGCCTGTCCTGGAATCTCAGCTGTTTCCAGCTGCAGTCGCCCCCTTCCTAAACGTCTCAGCGTCCACCTTCCGACACCGTCCTCCCTAGGGGCGGTGGGCACGCTCTGCTGTCACCCTCCAGGGAGGGGACCGCTCTTCAGACCCCCTCAGGGCCACTCACCCGAGTCCACCATTATGTCCTCATCGTTGCCAGTGCTGTCCTCGTCCCGGAACACCACCTGCTTTCCCTGCCGGACAATAGTCCGTTTGCCTTCAGTTTTTATTTCTTTGACCTGATCAGGTGACACCGTGACACACGACCCACTGGAAGGAGTATCGGAATCCCAGCCCGAGCAGGGGTCGCCAGGAGCCTGAGGGATATCCTGCAGGGTGGGACTCGTGGGGGTCTCCACATAGGGGTCAGCAGCTTCCAGCTTCAACAGGCTCCCCATGTACCCCTCCTTCACGGGCACGTCGCTGTCCCTTCGCTTCCTCTTCTTCTTTTTCTTCAGCTTGTCTGTCTTCTTTCTGTCCAGCAGGAAATTACTGGGCTTGGCTCGCGGCAGGAGGGTGGGCTGCAGGTGGCCAAAGCAGCGGTCGGAGACCGGCAGGGGCACGGCCGACGCAATGTCAGTGAAGCCCGTGTCCCAGCCGTCGCTGTCAATGGTGCCAGCCGTGCTGTTGGCAGGGCTGGGGCTGCTTCTCAGAGGGAGCTCCTGAAAGGACAGAAGCACAGGTAGCCGGGGCCGAGTGGCATGACTAAGTCCCCTAGTCCCCGGCAACGAGGGCTGGCCCCGAGCAGAGCTTCCCCAGGCCCCGCACCCCCACCCCCCAGCCAGGTCGGGACTACAGACGAGGGCTATCAGAACTGTGACCTTCTCGGCTCTCGTAAGCAGTGCTCTTTAGGAATGGTGTCATGAGTACTTTACTATAACCTTCCAGATAGAATGTTAACCCACCAGGAGGAAAACCTTCCCTTGCTGAGCCCTCAGCCCCTGTCCAGAGCCAGGAACCCGTTCGATGCCCAGTAAGTATCTAGAAAGCCGCCAAGAACACCCTCTCATACCCCCTTATCTTTCCCAGATTGTAAAATCCCCCTTCCACTTGCAGTCCCAAGGGTTGTATTTTTTTTTTTAATTAAATGAATTTAAATTAGTTTTGAGAATTTCCTGACACTCTTTCTAAAAACTGGAGCTATCCCCAAATATTACAAAATCAAACTAGGTAATTACTGCCCCAAAGCAGTGAGCTAATCCCTACGGTTCCTTCAGACCATTCAAGCATTTTCTTTGCAAATAGTGGCAACATTCTGCGTGGTACAAAGGGTGCATTTATCCACGTACACAGCAAACAGAAACGATAAGCCAATGCTGGGGTTTGGTCTCCCAGAAATACCATATTCCTTTCTTTTTAGCCCTGTACAAGTTTGAGCACCATGACAATAGTGGTCCTCAGTCCTACCCATTATTGAGCAAGAAAAAAAAAATCCTTTAAAATTCAGGATTTTGGCCACAAGTCCCTGAAGATTCTGTAATATGGTGCGCACAGCAACTGGGGAGCTGCTCACCAGGAAGGACAGTGTGGACGAGGCCCAACCATCCAGTACAACCCCAGGCCTGGGCCCCAGCGTCCTCATCTGTAAAATGGGGATCAACAACAGCACCCATCTCATATACTGTAAGGGCCAAGAACACTGCCCAGCCACTGTAGGCACTCAATAAGCCCTGGAGATTCAGAGCAGATGGACGTCAAACATGTTATATGCAAACCAATACTCAAAGTTTATTAAGTCATTTCTAGACAACCCTGTGTTTTCTATCAGACTTTTAGGAACCACCTCCCAGGCTGGGCTAAGTTTTTAAGAAAGGTTTCTACCTGACAGCCGTCTGGCGTCCCCCAGCACCCCCCTCCCAGACCCCCACCCGGCCACTGGTTTCACTGCCAGCAGAAGCACTGAAGATTACCTCCTTTGGATAAGGAATGTAGCCGGCATAGGCCAAGACAAAGGTGCAGAATTTGTTGAAATCCTCCACAGTCCTGCGCCTCTTGTAACTGGGGGAGCACTCCTGTTAGCAGGCGAGAAAAGGGGTGTATTTGAGAGTAGGCCCTTGTAGGTGGAATCCAGAAACAAAACTAAGCCAGCTGGAGCTTTTATTGTCAACCACTCGAAAATATACTGCTACATTTACAAACACTCTAAGAAACGAGATAAGGTAGGTTTGGGTCAAGAAATAACACTGCACTCAGAAGGCTGAAAGAGGGGTATTGTGATGTTATGCCAAGCACACTGGGAAACTGGGCAGGAGATAAAAACGTACAAGAGTCTACTTCTTAGTGCTTCCACTTCTCAGCGCTCCCGTGGCATTTTCCAACATTATCTATCACGCTCTGCAGGCCTATCAGGAGCTCTAATAACTACTTTTTTGCTACAGATTTTCCATTTGAAAATAAAATTCAGCTGCAGCTGTAATCAAAGTATTTTAAGTGATTTCAAAAGTCAACTACTCCTGATCCTACAAAGCTCACCCAGGCCTGAACCCTCCCCAGCCAGGGCTCTGTGGCCCCCTCCTCCTAGCACCCCCCACTTCTCCCTCCCCTGCTGCAGCACCCAACATCCAGGGGGGGCCAGCGCCCAAATGTTCTCTGACTCAGAAAATAAACCAGAAATGCTCAGGCTGGGGGGGCGCCTAGATGGCTCAGTCGTTAAGTGTCTGCCTTCCGCTCAGGTCATTATCCTAGGGTCCTGGGATCAAGCCCCCCATGGGGGTGGGGCTCCCCGCGGAGCGGGGAGCCTGCTTCTCCCTCTCCCACACCCCCTGCTTGTGTTCCCTCTCTCGCTGCATCTCTCTGTCAGACAAATAAATAAAATCTTAAAAAAAAAAAAGAAGGAAATGCTCGGGCTGGGTTTACTTGCACCTTGAAGATGAAATAGGAGAGGATTTTGGCTTGTGTGTCCTGTCTCCATTCAATCTAGAAATGCCCTCAACAAGAAGGGTTTTTCTCCTGAGGAACAGCAACTCCGGGAGAAAAAACCCTTTTTTGCTACTAAGCAAAACAACTCTGCTTTATTTCGCCTTATTCGACTAGCGTATTTACTGAGGTCTCCTTTAAGCACTTTAGTACCCACCCCAACCTCATCCTTACGTGCTCAGCTACCATTTCCAGGGCCCAGGGTCCCACTATCCTGCAAGGACGAACGCGGGACAGGAAACTGGGGGGTGGGTTCCCGGATCCAACCCAGCTCCTCCCCAGGACCGAGGGCCAAGAAAGCGGCCCGGCACCCGGCGTGCTGCCCGCAGGTTTCCTTCCAAGGGCTCCACTTCTTATTTTCTCAACTTGGTTCTAGCAGACCACCTCCGCCCTCCGCCCCCCACCCCCGGCCGCTCAGACTCCGGGGGGCTCGCAGGTTGGCGGAGCACCCGCCTGGGAGCGGTCCCCGGCATTTCCTGCGTCGAAGAGACCCTGCCCCCATCCCCGGGAAGAACTGACCGCCCGCGCTCCGGCCGCGGCGGGAGGGCCGCAGCCCTCGGCCCTCAAACTCTCGGGGAGAACTTTTATTTCGGCGGGGAACACGCACAAGTGGGTCAGGGGCCTGGACGCGGAATGGAAGGCGGCGGCGCCCTCCGGCCCGAAGCGGAGGGACCCGCGCCGCCCCCGCCCCGCCCGCCTCGCCCGCCTCGCCGCCTTTAGGAAAAGCAGATGGCGGTGCAGCCCCCTCCCCGCCCTCCGCGGAAGCCGCCCCCCGCCGACACTCGGCCCCGGAAGGTGCGGGGCCCATCCCGCGGGGGAGGGGGCGCGGGAAGCCGGGCAGGATTCGGGGTCCGGGGCCGGTGGGCCCCGCGAAGCCCTGAGGCGGCAGCGCGACGGGTGAACGCGCCCGGCGCCGCCTCCCCCACCCGCCTGCGGCCGGACCCGCACCCCAGCCCCGCGGGCCTCGGGAGGGAGAGGGGACCGAGGCGGGGGCGCCAGAGGGGCCGCCCGGGAGAACCGAGGGCCGATCCCCGGAAGGAGGGGGAGCCGGGGCGGGGCGAGAGAGCCCGCGGCCGGGGGGCGGGGGCCCCGGAGGGGGAGGAGAGCGTGCCGAGGGTGGGGGGCTCGACTCGGGTGTTTACGGGGGTGGGGACCCGGCAGGACTAGGCCCCCGGCGCCGGAGGGGGCGGGGGCCGCGCGGGAGTCAGGGGGCGGGGCGCGGACTACCGGGCCCGGGGATTAAGGGAGCAGGCGGGGGCGCGCGGAGTCCCCGTCCGAGGGGGACCGCGAGCCCCTCCGGGAGGGGGGAGGGGCTCCTAAGAGAAGCGGGAACTCGAGGCGGCGGCGGCTGGGACCGAGTCCCCGGGGGCAGGGAAGGAGTAAGCCAAGCCGGCGGGGAGAGGCCGGGGGCGCAGACAGGTCCCGAGGCTACGCGAGGCCGGGGAGGGGTGGGCGCGGCGGCCCGAGGAAAGGGGCGCCGGGAGGACGCGGACGCCCGCGGCAGGGACGCCGAGGCGAGAGCCGGCAGGGAGAACGGGGCGCGGGCCCGAGTGGGGGGCGGGGTTGGGCGCCCAAGGGGGCGACGAGGGAAGGCTGGGGGAGGGGAGGGCGGCGCTCGGCCGGCGGGGGTCCGGCTGCCGGGAGCGCAGGACTGGAGTGGGGGTGGGTCAGGGGCGGTCGGGACGCAGCCCTCACTCACCTCCGGGTGGAAGGCGGCGGCGCAAGAGTCGGAGTCCATGTTCAGGGTGGGGGGCGGCGGCTACGGGAGTGCAGGGGCCCGGGATGCGGGCGCCGGGCCACCGAGCCGCTCAGGGCTGGGGGCTCCGGCGGCCGCGCAGAACGAGGGCGGACCCGGGAGGGGTCGCCCCGGCTGGAGGTGATGAGGGGGCTCGGCGCGTTGCGTCCCGGGCTCAGTGCTCCCGGGCCGGCGGCTTCACCGCCGAGCAGAGTTCGCGATGCAGCTCCTGCGGCCGGCGCGGTGGGAGAGGCGGGAGAGTCGCTGCGGGGGGCGGCGGCGGCGGCGAGCGGGAACCCGACCCGCTCCCCGACCTGACGCCCAGTTCGGCTCGTGTCTCGGGAGGGAGGGCGGGAGAGCCGCGAGGGCTGTCGGGAAATGTAGTCTGTGGGCGACGGGAAGCCGAAGGCCCGGGGCGGGGGCGGAGCATTGTGGGAGTAGTAGTCCCAGCTCCGCCTCTGAGGCGCGCAAAGGCCGCCTCGCGGACTCCAGCCCCCATAGAGCTCCGCGGCGGCAGCCCGGTTTGTGGGGGCGGTGTCTCCGGGACCTGAGGCTGCCGGAGCGGGGGAGGTGCGGAGGCTCGCGCTGGCTCTGCGGTGGGGGAGGGGCGGCGCGAGTGGTAGCGCCGCGGTCTCCGCGGGGGCGAGGGGCGGGAGTCGCCCCGGCGGGTGGGGGCGGGGCTGACGGCCTCGGTGGAGGAGGGCGGCGGCAGCGGCTGCCGTCTCCTTTTGGACTTGGGGGTTCGTGCCCCTTTGTGGGGCCGTGGTCCCCGCGGCGGGGGCGACGGGCGCTGACGTCGCGGCCGCCGCCTGGGCTCGGACCCGGCGGGGCGAACTTGTTTTCGCGGCCGGGGTATTCTGGCCGGCTCCTTCTGTCCCGGGGGTCCTGGGACGGCGGGACTGATGATCTCCTGGTGTTTGTAGGATCCACGTTGGGGTGTCGAGTAACTGCGTTTTTATAAAAACTCTGTGCCAGGGCTATCAGTGTTTTGGAAGATGTTAGTCTTAAATTCGCTTTTTTTCTCTCTCTTTCCTCTCTGGCTGATCTTGGGACTACCCCTGTTTTCTTTAATTGAATTATCTTCCGAATGTATTCCTCACAGCATTACACCAGTGGGGTGAGGGGAAAACGTGGTTGAGAGATCTGGTATTGACAATGATTTTATTGATACTTGATTGAGTTTGCGGTGTTTAAATGCTGGACCGCTGAGTATTTTACAACTTCGTATGTTGAAGATTGATTGACTCTGAACACTTAGTTGAAAATTATCTGCTCTGATAAAATTACCATTGGAGGCCTGACATTTTTGAACATTTTTGATAACCATTTGAAAGGAAAAAATCTATAAATGTTCAATAACATGTTTGGTAGCTTCGAAGACAGAGGAACTGCGTTAAAGAGGAGGGACGTAAAATTTTAAATTCGAATCAGGAAACTGACTCCTGGACACTAAATCAGAAAAGATGATTAGAAGAACCTCTAGGAGATTATTTCTAAGGGAGTGAATGCCTCGCTGGTTGACTGTTGCTGTTTAGATTAAGATAATTCTGAAGGAAACTACTGGTTAAGAGACTGGGTTTATCTCAGAAGTACTTTTCTGAGCCTCAGCTTCCTAAACTATAAAAGTTTTATCGTAGTTCCTTTCTCCGTAAATGGTAGTTTACTATTGTTGTTGTTATCTTTTAATGTTATTTCAGCAATGCCTTACCGGATTGGAGGACTCCCCAGCGTGGATAACAAATTGAGGAGCTCTAGAAAGTTAGTAAGATTAAAAACAGACATTGGACTTGGCCTGTGGAAACATCACCAACAGCTTCATAGAGAGTTGTCACATTCAGGTGATTTAGCTGGATTTAGAATGTTACCTATCACTGTGGCCAGAGCAAATGCCCTGAAGTCAGCCAGCATTGCCCAGGGCCAGATTACCAGGAGCAACTTGTTTTGCCTGAATAAGAAAGGGACACCATGAAGGATATTATCCTATTGTTAGTTTAAAGGTGTAAATGCCAAAAAGAATATTGATTGGAGGTAAAGTACAAATAGGGAATTTTGGGGGCGCCTGGGTGGCTCAGTCGTTGGGCGTCTGCCTTCGGCTCGGGTCATGATCCCGGAGTCCTGGGATCGAGCCCTGCATCGGGCTCCCTGCTCAGCGGGAAGCCTGCTTCTCCTTCTCCCACTCCCCCTGCTTGTGTTCCCTCTCTCGCTGTGTCTCTCTGTCAAATAAATAAATCTAAAAAAAAAAAATAAGAGGGAATTTTTGTAACTGATCATTGTTGGCAATGATGTAATTTTTCACATAGGAAGTATTAAATCCCCTTCCCATTAAGAAAGTGAAATAAAGGGCGCCTGGATGGCTCAGTTGGTTAAGCGACTGCCTTCGGCTCAGGTCATGATCCTGGAGTCCCTGGATCGAGTCCCGCGTCGGGCTCCCTGCTCAACAGGGAGTCTGCTTCGCCCTCTGACCCTCCCCTTTCTCGTGTGCTCTCTCTCTCTCATTCTCTCTCAAATAAATAAATAAAATCTTTAAAAAAAAAATAGGGGCGCCTGGGTGGCTCAGTTGGTTAAGCGACTGCCTTCGGCTCAGGTCATGATCCTGGAGTCCCGGGATCGAGTCCCGCGTCGGGCTCCCTGCTCAACAGGGAGTCTGCTTCGCCCTCTGACCCTCCCCTTTCTCGTGTGCTCTCTCTCTCTCTCTCAAATAAATAAATAAAATCTTTAAAAAAAAAATAGGGGCGCCTGGGTGGCTCAGATGGTTAGGCATCTGCCTTCGGCTCAGGTCATGATCCCGGGGTCCTGGGATCGAGGCCCGCATCGGGCTCCCTGCTCTGCGGGAAGCCTGCTTCTCCCTCTTTCACTCCCCTGCTTGTGTTCCCTCTCTCGCTATGTCTCTGTCCGTCAAATAAATAAATAAAATCTTTAAAAAAAATAAAAAAGTGAAATAATATGTTCACAATAATGATGGACTTGATGACAAAACCCTAGAATTCAGGGATGGATCTATATTGAATGGAACCACTCAGTCACACTGAGGAAAGAACATTCCAGACCTGGGTTGTGTCATGTAACAGTGATAACTCTTGCTCAGAATAGGTATTCAGGTATATATATATATATATATATATATGTATTTTTTTAAGATTTTATTTATTTATTTGACAGAGAGCAAGCAGGGGGAGCTACAGGCAGAGGGAGAGGGAGAAGCAGGTTCCCCACTGAGCAGAGAGCCCCATGTAGAGCTCAATCCCCGGACCCTGGGATCATGACCTGAGCCACCCAGGCATCCTGCAATAGATATTTCTTGAATAAGTTATTCATAAATAGTAGTTCTTAGTACACAGATGTGACCAATACTACCTGATGTAGTCTGCTTGTTTCCCTGCCTGCCACTCCATTATTTTCATGGAGGACCTTCTTGGCCTCCTTCCTTTGATTCCCCTTAGAAATTTAGACCTGTGGAGGAGATTTAGCCGTTATATCTACCATCCCATCCCTAGACTCAGGGAAGGACTAGAATACCAATAATTGACCCAGATTCAATAGCACGATATGTACACGTGGGGGAATGTAGTTGGTTTATCTAGTCTATTTCTCAGGTGTCCTGCACTACACCTGGGCTCCAGGGGGCAAATTTGGAATTCAAGGATTAATGCAAGAGCATTAGCCACAGTAGCCAGATTCTTGGAGTCTGGGATTCCTTGTTTTCTGCTTAAAAAAAAAAAAAATATATATATATATATATATTATAATCTGATGATTATAGTTATTTGGAAAAGAAGAAAAAAACCAACGTTAAACAGGTTGTGACAAGTTTTAAAATACTAAGAATACCATAGTTTCCCAGTAAGTAACTTGAGAATGTAGTTATTTTAATTGGGTTACCAAATATAGTTTCACCTTTCTAAATCTCACCGGCTATACTACATTCATTTGGGGAACATTCAGGAAAGTTTTCTGCCTCCCATTATAACTCAGTGCTTGAGTGCAGGCATGAACATAACCAAAGGTTTGTTTTTCCCAGAAATGCTTCTTGGTGGTTCAGCTTTTTGTTCAGCTTTAATAGTATGGAATTCCTGTGGATCGTTCCCAGCTGCAATTTTATGACTTTCCCACTTCCATCTCCAGGAGAAGAAAAAAACGTGATAATTCCCCCAAATTGTCTTGTTTCAACTTTTAGTACCTTGACCACTGTATGAATATATATATATATATATATATATATATATATGACTAGTTTTAAGTCATTAATAAGTAATTTTTAAACCAGGTATTGTCAGCTCTTTATATAGCAAGAAAAATAACTTATACACAGAGATCAAATGAACTTGCTGTGTTATGGCTCATACCGGTAAACCATAAACATTAATAGCTAACACTATGCCAGATACTGTTGAAATGTTTTGATCTACCATATCTCATTTACATATAATAATGCACTTAATAAATAGGGAATACTGTAGCGTTCCTTAAAGAAAAGTTTACATAGAGTAAGTTTATTACAAGCCACACTTTAGGTGGTCCAGAAGCAGAAAAGAATCAGGGTATATGATAGGAAAAAAGGCGCAATCTCTTTTTTGATGGTATAAATGCTAAAGTATGTGCTCCTAAATGTTCGCAAAGGGGGAGACAAAAGGGTAACAGTGGCTTTTGTAAAATGATCTCAGAGACCTCTTGTCCTGTCTGACTAAAATTAGAATTCAGATATCAAAATTGCATAGTTTGAATGTTTAAAATGAAATGGTACCATTATTTGTTAAATCTCATTAAATTACTTTATCATAAAGAAGTTAGGCAGAGACCATTTTCATGATTGTGGAAGAGGTAAATTTTTAAAATTTTCATGGTTGAAGTTTAATTTTTTTTGTCCGTACCCCCCAGCCCCCCAGCTGCCCTCTCCCCAGAAGTTTAATCTTTAAATACAAACATTTCCCCCTAAACTATGGGTCTTTGACTAGATTTAACACTTTTCTTACCAAACACTAGTGCTTCTACCATGGGAGGCTGTGGAATGACATTTCAAGAGTTTGCCGACTATATCAATCACATGGTCATTCAGTAAATGAATTTCTCACATTCCCATTTTCAACTCTTAAGGTTGATGAGTGAACAAAGGAACTAGATAGCGTGCCTGGGTTAGTAGGTTCTTCAAATTTCCAAACACAGCTGATGGATCTAAATCTGTTTTTCTTTTTTTTTTTTAATCTGTTTATTTTCTGACCAAATTCCTTTGTTGACTTAGATATGTACACATGGCTTCAAATAATATTTATAAATATTTAAAAAAAAATAAAATAAACTTGTATTATTTCCTTAATACACAAAATAGAAAATACAGGCAAGCACAAACAAAACAAACCTAACCACCTAGAGGATATGTTACCTTCACAATTGTTTTGTAGGCATATGAATACAGACAACAAATTGGGTCATACTACCGGTAATCAGCTCGACAGGATAGCATGAATATCTTTCCATTTCTTTTTTTCTTTTTCAAGATTTTATTTATTTATTTGACAGAGAGAGACACAGTGCGAGAGGGAACACAAGCAGTGGGAGTGGGAGAGGGAGAAGCAGGCTTCCTGTGGAGCAGGGAGCCCCATATGGGGCTGGATCCCAGGACCCTGGGATCATGACCTGAGCCAAAGGCAGACGCTTAACGACTGAGCCACCCAGGCACCCCATTTTTCCATTTCAATAAACATATGCATCATCATTCATCAAGGCTTCACAGTAAGGCTGATTTATTTAAATAGTTACACGAAACATTCACTATCGAAATATTTTTGATTTATTAAACTTTGCTTTCTGCAAGGTGGACGTGTTCTGACCCAGAGGGACTGGAGTACTTTTCCCTGCAAACATCCCACTTCCTGGCTACTCAGACTTTCTTGTCACAAAGCCTGTGCAAGTAAGCTATTGGCCGGGCTCCTGGGCCCAGGAATGCTGCCGCTGCCGTTAATAGCTGTGTGAACAGTCCATCTATGGGCAACAGGCAGCTGCCTGGGTACCTGAATGTTTTCATACTTAGGCCTGCGCTTCCCATGCTGAAATTTGGACCAAGTACATTCTCATGGCAAGATGATGAGATTCACGAGGACAAGGGAAAGCCTGCAGTTTGCATTTCAGAGATGAAATAAAAACAAGATGTCTTCTCCAAAGGTTGCACCGACTTAGCTGGAACCAAGAAATGACACCATCCCCCCCTCCCACCCCCTGTGTGCCTGGCTCGCCCGGGACACACGTGGGCAAGCGGGTGAGGCGTTCCCCAGGAATGTCTGCGAGGCCCACGGGGCCTGGGTGGGGGCTATTAAATAACCAAAACCCAGGTTTCTTTCGAGAAACAAAAGGACTGGAGTCGAAATAAGGGTCTTTTCTAAAAGTGGGCAAAGCATGCATTAAAGAAAAACGGTGGCTACGTTCAAAGTGCTGGCATTGTATCTCCCGGAACGAAAATAAGGAAGATTCCTTTCTTCACAGTCACCCCACAAGTGACTGTGACGTTCCTGAACGCCCACACCCCTGGTTTTCAAGGCAGTCTCCTGTCTGACCTTGAACTAAAGACACTGTCCCTGGGCCCCTAGTGTCCCCTCTCCTGGAATAGGAAAAACTGCTATTTTCCCCGAAATTATTTACATTACTTCTATTATTGTAATTTTCTGGTCCTTGAGCCTTTTGTTCAGCCTCATAGTGCGTTCTTCTGAATTCTTAACGACTGTCTCCTACTCTCTGCCTTCCATTTCCAGGAGAGGGGGGCCAGGAGGTCTGAGGGTCGAACCCGAGCAGGCCTGTCCCCTTCTCAAGACCGCTCTGGAGCCCGAGTCTCTATGAATCGGCAACTAAAACTGCGCCTTGTGCCCTGACGAAAGTTAATGACCGAGTTAGTCAAGTTTGAAACTCCTGCAGGAACACAGTGGAGCGGATTCCTGGCATCCGGCCCGTGTCACTTATAAATGCGCCAAGAAAAAACGTCACCTAAAAAGCTTATACTTGTTCAAGCTCTGGTCCTGAATTGTAAAAATCCTGTCCTTTGAAATCAGCCCAGCGATAAGGCTATCTAGCAACCCTTGGAACCAGTGGAATTCAAAACAAAACCAGAAAAAGGCACTGTAGCGAGCCGCCCAGGGGCTCAGGGGCCGACGCAGTAGGGAAGTCTGGCGCGAAAGGGGTGGCTCGGGTTCCGGGCGCCGAGCTCGCCTCCGCCGGCTTTCTCTCCGCAGCCGGGCCCGCTGGGTCGTGGGCGGGCCCTAGAGGCCCCTGACCCTGGACGGAGAGAGGACACTCGCCGCCCGGCGTGCCCGGCTCGGGCGGTGGGGGCGCGGGCAGCCACGGAAAGGCGCGGACGCGGGGCGAGCGGGCCGGTGACTCAGCCTGGGGCGCGGGGCGGACGGCGGTGCCGGACCCGGAGGGGTTAAGTGGGCGGAGGCCAGCGACTCCCCGCCCCTCCCGAGGCCGCACCGCCCGGCAGTACTTATAGCGGCGGGCGCGGAGCGCGCAGCGTTCCTCCCGCTGGCCCCGGCCGCGGCGCCCTTCAGTTCCCCCAGCGACGGCGCCATGGAGCGGCCGGCGCCACTGGCAGTGCTGCCCTTCTCGGACCCCGCGCACGCGCTGAGCCTGCTTCGCGGCCTGAGCCAGCTCCGCGCCGAGCGCAAGTTCCTGGACGTGACACTGGAGGCGGCGGGCGGGCGCGACTTCCCCGCGCACCGCGCCGTGCTGGCGGCCGCCAGCCCCTACTTCCGCGCCATGTTCGCGGGACAGCTGCGCGAGAGCCGCGCTGAGCGGGTGCGCCTGCACGGCGTGCCGCCCGACATGCTGCAGCTGCTGCTGGACTTCAGCTACACGGGCCGCGTGGCGGTGAGCGGCGACAACGCCGAGCCGCTGCTGCGAGCCGCCGACCTGCTGCAGTTCCCGGCGGTAAAGGAGGCGTGCGGCGCCTTCCTGCAGCAGCAGCTCGACCTGGCCAACTGCCTGGACATGCAGGACTTCGCCGAGGCCTTCAGCTGCGCGGGGCTGGCGAGCGCGGCGCAGCGCTTCATCCTGCGCCACGTGGGCGAGCTGGGCCCAGAGCAGCTGGAGCGCCTGCCGCTGGCGCGCCTGCTGCGCTACCTGCACGACGACGGGCTGTGCGTGCCCAAGGAGGAGGCCGCCTACCAGCTGGCGCTGCGCTGGGTGCGCGCGGACCCGCCGCGCCGCGCCGCGCACTGGCCGCAGCTGCTCGAGGCTGTGCGCCTCCCTTTCGTGCGCCGCTTCTACCTGCTGGCGCACGTCGAGGCCGAGCCGCTGGTGGCGCGCTGCCCGCCCTGCCTGCGCCTGCTGCGCGAGGCACGCGACTTCCAGGCGGCGCGCTACGACCGCCACGACCGCGGGCCCTGCCCGCGCATGCGCCCGCGCCCCTCCACCGGCCTCGCGGAGATCCTCGTGCTCGTGGGCGGCTGCGACCAGGACTGCGATGAGTTGGTCACCGTCGACTGCTACAACCCGCAGACGGGCCAGTGGCGCTACCTGGCCGAGTTCCCCGACCACCTGGGCGGGGGCTACAGCATCGTGGCGCTGGGCAACGACATCTACGTGACGGGTGAGGGGACTGGGGGCCCTCCGGGAGGACCCTGGGTTAGCCTCCTGCGCCCGTAGGAGAGCGCGTTTTCCCGCTGGAGGAACCTGTGAATCCCGGGGCCGCCCCACGGTGCGAGCGGCCCCTTCCCCGGCCCCCCGCCCCCAGCCGGCCAGCGGGTACACTTCTAGAGCTGGGGCCTTCGACCTAGAAGACCGTGGTGTGAGCGGGGACAAGCAGCTGCTTGTGGTCTCTTTGTTCCCCGGTACGGGGGTGCCAGCCTAGATGACAGATGAGCCCAACTCCTTGCCCGGGAGGTGCTCCCACCCCCATTTGGTTAGAGGATACAGGGGCATTCACCCCATACAATGGGTGCTTTCTTTTTTTCCCTAAGAAATCCAGGGACAGGCAGGGCCTGGCGCTCTGTGAAACATCCGTTCCGGGTCCTGGGGATCTCTCCCGCCCAACTGAGCCACACGGGCCCCCTGACGCACTCATTCTGTCACCAGCGATAAGGTTCCCTCAGGCTCGCACCTAGGCTGTGCGCTAGGGGTCACATGGTGTTTAGGCGGCTCGCGGCCCAGCGACTGTAAACATGGTCACATGCTAAGAGGTTTTCTTCCAGTTACTTGGCCCAAACCCCAAAACACTGCCGAGTCATGCTGGGCGGGTCCCAGCCTGCTCTGGTCCTGGGCATCTCCCACATTTTTCATTAAAGATGAATCCCAATTCAGACATGGGGCTACCTCCTTCCCTGGGGTGAGGAGGGGCGGTCTCTGTGACAGCTATATAAGGAAAGAACTGGACTCCGCAAGCACTGGGCCCTGCAGAAGGCTGTTATCAGTCAGTGAACCGAGGCTGGGGCCCGGCCCAGCCCGGCACATTCAGGAGAAAGCCAGCTCTGAGCTTTGGTGTGTCGTGGTCGTGGTGTGTCGTAGCCGCCCCCCACCCCCACCCCAGGCCACCTCCGGTTGACAAGTGAAGGAATCCTGGCCTGAGGACACGCTCCGTTCCTCTTTGGCCTGCTGCTCTGTTTCAGCCTTTGCTGGAATATGCTGGAATGGGTCCCTTTCCAACCTGAGTTTGGGAGCTACACCTTCCCAACATATGAAAGGCTGGCCGGTGAACTCCCTCCCAGAACTGGTTAGACTCGCCCCAACTTTGCACACCCCTTCCATAAATGTCTCAGCTGAGCAGCTGATCCTTTGCGTTTAGACAGGTGGCTGGGTCATTCCATACAGCTGCCTGTAGGGGATTTCATGGGACGACAAAGCTGGCTTCAGCTGCCGCGGACAGTTATCCTTTACAAGGAAGAAAACAGGCTGAGTGCACTTGTAAGAGCTTTGTCTTTTAAAAAACTCAAGGCTATGAGACAGATGGAATGTCATGCATCCTCTGCCCTGTGGCACCAACTTTGGGGACAGTAGGGGATGCAACCCCCAGGGTTCTTGGGGGTCCCTTCACACTGGAAATTCTAATGTGCTGGGAAGCCCTGGGTTTTTGTTTTTTTTTTTTTAAAGATTTTATCTATTCATTTGGGAGAGAGAGAATGAGAGACGGAGAGCACGAGAGGGAAGATGGTGAGAGGGAGAAGCAGACTCCCCACCGAGCAGGGAGCCCGATGCGGGACTCGATCCCGGGACTCCAGGATCATGACCTGAGCTGAAGGCAGTCGCTGAACCAACTGAGCCACCCAGGCGCCCGAAGCCCTGGTTTAATTTATGATTATAGCCAGTCCCACTGGTGGGGGGTGGGGGGCTAGCTCTTTTTTGAAAGAAACGAGAGAGTGGACATTGTACTTGTAGGGCTTGATGCATTTACCCAGACAGAGCACGTGTTGGTAACCTGCACCTAAATCAAGAACTGGAGGCCCCAGAATTCCACTCCTATTACTTGTCCTGTCAGGCTCTTGCGTGCAGAGTGAAGTAGATTTCCAGAGTGAAATAGATTTCCTCTCCACTTGTCCTGGCACTGGCTTGTTTTGGGGGGGCGCCCAGGAAGGCAAGAATTCCTTGAACAAGTCCCTGTGCACCTTACCCACCTGTTTTGTGGCTCCCCAGAAGTTTTGGCCCTGAGACGGATGCCCTGGTTCAGTTGAGGTGTTTGACAGTGTATGGGGCCAGATTGCGGTTTACTCAGAATCGCGGCCACAGGGCCTTTGCTTGACCCACACAGATTTAGCAGTGTTCTTCCGGCCTGAGGCTCTGTTGTCCTCCCAGGCTGTGGTCAGCATGTGCACGGCCTTTGCCCCAGCATGGAGCCAGCCCCCAGCAGGAGCTTTGGTGAAAGAGGATGGGAGGGGACGGGTGTTTACATTGAAACCCAATGAAGTTACTTCCTGCCCTGGGAGACTCCCTCGGGGAAGTTCACGGAGGCAGGGGTGGGTGACTCAGCCCGAGTCAGCATGGGCTGACCTGTCCCCTGCACGTCCTGGCAGGTGGGTCTGACGGCTCCCGGCTCTATGACTGCGTGTGGAGGTACAATTCCAGTGTGAACGAGTGGACAGAGGTGGCGCCCATGCTGAAGGCCCGCGAGTACCACAGCTCCTCCGTGCTGGACGGGCTGCTGTACGTGGTGGCTACAGACAGCACGGAGCGCTACGACCATACCACGGACTCCTGGGAGGCCCTGCAGCCCATGACCTACCCCATGGACAACTGCTCCACCACCGCCTGCCGTGGCCGCGTCTATGCCATCGGCTCCCTGGCCGGCAAGGAGACCATGGTGATGCAGTGCTACCACCCAGACACGGACCTGTGGTCGCTGGTGGACTGTGGCCAGCTCCCACCCTGGTCCTTCGCCCCCAAGACCGTGACTCTGAATGGACTTATGTACTTCATCAGGTGAGTCCCCAGTGGCCAAGGCCACTTCTCAGTCTTCCTTCCCGGGCCTGGTGCTGAGGCACGTACATCCTCCCTGTGCTCTGCATTTCATAGATGAGGAAGCAGCCCGAGCTGGGATCCCAGCCAGGTCTTTCCAGCCTGGAGCCTTTGTTCTGCCCCATTTCTTAGAACAGTTTCTGTGGGCTTCTAGGTTTCCTTAATCAAGGGATCCTAACTGAGGGAGTTAGAGGCTCTGATTGATTGATTGATTGATTGATTAGAGTTGGGTCTTTTCAGAGAGCTTGAGATTCCTAGAAGCTAAATAAAATGTGTTGCTTTGTTTGCTTTTCCACCTGGAGGATCCCAGTCTAAGCCCTGGTGGTTCTCAGAAGGCACTTATTATAAAGGAACCTGTCCTACCTAAGAGGGATTTTGAATCTTAAAAAAACTAAGGGAGAGCTCTTTGGGCACTTGAGTCTCTGGGGAGGTGCTGCCTTGTCAGAGGGACCCCGTGTTCACCTAGCAGAGTGTCCGCGCTCGGCCACCAGGTGCAAGAGCTAGGTGGGGGCTCCACCCCTCGATTTAAAGCAACACTTGGGCCTTCAGTGCATGTGTGCAGGTCCTGTCTGTTCCCTCCCTACCCGAGCTGGCACAGGGAGGCCTCACAGTCCTGCGGAGTGACTGCTGTTCTCACAGCCACACTGGACCAGGGAGGGACCTGGGATGGAGCCGGCCCCAAAGCTACCTGGGGGACACAATGACGATGACGAGAGTCAGCACATGGCGAGGCCCTGAGCTTTCTGTGGCCTGTCTCCAAGTCAGTCTTCATGACCATCTGATGAGATGGGCACTGCTGGTCATCCCTGCTTCACAGATAACAACGGAGGCTTCTAGGGGAAGGGGACTTATGGGATGCACCAGGTTTGAATCAAGGATAGCCAACCCGGGTCCTGGTATAATGGTTTCCCTGGGCCAGGCTGTGTCCTTGCCAGTGTGGGGCAGAGATGGGTGGCCAGGGGTCTTGATGACTTGCCACAGCCAGATTCCCCCTCGTCATGGGCCAAGGGCATCCAGGGGCTCCTGCCTGCTATGCACAGCCTCCGTGTGTGTGTGTGTGTGCGCGTGTGTGCGCACACGCATGCGCTTGTAGGTGTAGGTGTGTGTCCCTGCTCCTCCCTTCTTGGCCTAGAGCCTGTCTGAAGCTGTGGGACCAGGAGGGAAGGGTAAGGTCTGAACTGTAGTTTCCTCCATCCCCTTTTAGGGTGGGGCTTTGAATTGGGAGCCTCCAAGGAAGTATGTACTTGGCTCCTCAGCTGTACCCCTTGTCTCTCGTTCTAAGCTGCACTGGCCTTTGTCTGCCCCCTGCCCCACTCCCCAAGACCCAAGGCTCCTTTCTCAGGCTTTCTTGGTGAGCACCTTCAGAACAGAGATGGCACCGTTCACCATGCATCCTTGTATGCCAGGAACCTACGGGGCCGCTCTGAGAAAGCCCTGGGATCTCCCCCAGCTCTGGTCCTGTTATAAAACGTCATCTGACCCTTTACCCAGCTCTCCCTCCCCCAAGTCAAGGTAGATGTCTTCAGAGAGGGGCTGGGGACAGCTATGAATACTTCTCCAAGTGCCAGAACCTTGGCTTCAGCCCTTCAGTAGCAGTTCCAGCTTGAGCGCCTTTGAGCATGTCCTCCCTGCCCTGTGATCCTAGAGCAAAACAGGCTCAAGGGCCAGTCTGCCCCCGAAGGCCCCCTGTGCCTTGCTCCTCCACATTGGAGCCTCTTGTCAGTTGCTAGCCGCCCTCCCCACCCCCGCCGTGGAAGCATTAGGGTGCCCCCATGCCCACTGTTAGCCTTTGTATGGGTTCACCTAAGCCATTGGAGCCTGGGGGTGGCAGGCTCAGCTCTGCCTCAACACCCTCCCCCCAAACCAGGAGGAGAGAGTGAGCAGCGGGGAAAGGCAGCCCAACTGTCCTCGGGGGGAACAGTGCGGGCAAGGCCCGGGGTCTCGTCCTGACGCACTTGAGTGTTTGTCCCAGAGCCACCCAGTTCATGCACCCCATTGCCTAATAAGCCATGTAATGCTCTGCTCAGAACGCCACCTGTCCAGGCAGCTCCTGTCCACAAGTACCCAGTGTTGGACTGAGGCCTCAGCTCCTCAGCTGCTGCTGCCGTGGGCCACTCCCTTCTCCAGTGGCCCGCCTCGGTCCCTGTGTGCGGCTCCTTGGCCGGGGTGCCCAGCCCCCTGCAGGAGGAGATGCTGGGAGCACCGTCCAGCCTGGCACCTCCGGCTACAGTTTATAGCTCTCTGCTGGGGGAGGGCGGCCGAGCGGCCTCTCATGCTCATTGTCCTCATCATGGGGGCCACAAACTAAGAATGGTTTTTACACCTTGAAATGGTTGGTGGGAGAAAAACCCAAGCAGGAGTGGTATTTTATGATGTGAAAAGTTGCACAAAATTCAAATTTCTGTGTCCGTAAATACGGTTTTTGTGGAATGCAGCCAGCCCCTTAGTCCGTGGTCGCCCCTGCGCATACAGCGGCGGGCGGAGTTGGGGAGTTGCTACGGAGTCTGCTGTCCAAGGCCCAGCATGTTTGCTGACTGGCCCTTCTGCTGACCCCGACTCGTTACTGTCACTGCTGTTTGGGGGTTTATGTCTGCTTTTCAAGGGTGGGCCTTTGAGCCTTTTGTTGCAGGGTCCAAGAGGATGTCAAACAAGGTTGCAGGATCCTGACCCCAAAGGGAAGGGCAGCACTGGTGACTGTGGCTTTCCCATGACCGTGGCTGTCCTGCTGGGCACCCAGGACACAGCAGAGAATGGGAGGAGACTTGGGCTGACCGCGGACGAGGCCGGGGCGCTGGCAGTGTGCGGGGCAGGAGGGCTGGCCTGGCCTGGTCAGCCATGGAAGGGAAGACAAGCCCAGATCGGAAGACCACGAGGAGATGGGTGGGAAGAGCAGTGATGGGTTCAGATCCGAAGTCAGCCAGTGGGGCCGCGGTGAGGGCAGGGCAGCTGCCTTGGTGTAGAGCACTGGGAAGGGTGTAAGCACCGGAAGGTGTGTCTTCAGGTTTGAGAAGCAGAGTCTGGTTCCGGCCTCAGAGCCCAAGCCAGATAGGTGTGAGGGCCTGAAATTGGCCCCTGCAAACCAGCGCTAGGGTCTCACTAGCCTCTGGATTTCAGATGGCATCAAAGAAGTTCCCAAGGGAGAGGGGCCCGTGTGGCCCCACTCTCCAGCTCCTCACACCCAGGGATGCTTCCTCCTGGCTCTGACACATCTCCCCCCCTCCTCCCACCCACAGGGACGATTCTGCGGAGGTGGACGTGTATAACCCCACAAAGAACGAATGGGACAAGATCCCATCTATGAATCAGGTAAATATGCAAACGTGTTGGCATTGGAAGCACAGGCTTGTCCTGTTTTCTGGCCAAAGCATTGCAATGACGTGTCTGGGAACTAGTCCTGGTGGGTGGGGCCTGGGTTGAGGCCTTTCCCAGGGTTATCTCACTTAATAGAGGACTGGTTTTTCCCTCAGTTTGTACTGTGGGGCACTGGGACCTCAAATAAATCCCTGGGTCAGACAGTTTAGCGAGTTCATCCACGCAGGCCCGTATTTACTGGGTACCTGCTTTATAAGTCAGAGAGCATGTGGGGAAGGACATTCCACAGAGGGACAGCAAGTGCAAAGGCCCTGGGGCAGGGTATGCCTAGTGTGGTCATAGAAGTCCCACAGCCCAATGTGGCTGGAGCAGAGTGAACAAGGGGACAGCAGAGGGCATGAGGTCAGACAGGAGTGACCCTGAGGAGACATTTTTTGAGTGCCTACTGTGTGCTCTAAACAGGACACTGTTGCTATCTGATCAGGGTCTCTTCTCTCCGTTTGTTGAGAAGAGAGGTGCTGAGCCCAACCCTGTGATGGAGCTGGGAAAGCATGGCAGCATTTGGCCACGTGGGCAATTTCCTTAGTCCCAGATAGTTGTGTAAATCCACTCACATCTTTTTTGTCTTCCTTAAAATTTCCAAATCTGTTCTCATGCTACCTCTGCATGGCAGTTGTGACAACTGTCACAATTTACAACATCCCAGTTTAACGTTTTTACATTTAGGAAATGTAACTTTGTTTTTCCCTCTAACGATCTACCCGTTATTAGAGCGAATTTGGGAAAGATGAGGCAGTCCAGTTTTGTGGTTCAGAGCTCAGACTTTGAGTCCAGTCCTGGCTCTGCCTCCATCAGCCACACAAGGCTGTTTTCCCACCTGTGTGTCGGGGAGAACAGCCCAGCCTGCCTCAAGCTGTTGCTGCTCACAGGGAGACTCGCTGCTTCAGCAGCCTCCCAGCATCACGGGTACCAGGCATGGCCTGGGACCCCCTGGGGCCTGTTTTCTGAGCTGGGGTGTAGGAAGGGTGCTGGTCTGCCCTGGGAAGGGTCAGAGGCCACCTTTCCCGAGGGTCCCGGGCACCTTCTCCATGGAGAGACTGGGGGGTTCCCGCCCTGCCCTGGCTGCCAGCCTCCACTTGCCCATCCCTTTTGGCCCGCAGGTGCATGTGGGGGGCAGCCTGGCTGTCCTTGGAGGGAAGCTCTACGTCTCAGGTGGTTACGACAATACGTTTGAACTCTCTGATGTGGTGGAGGCCTATGACCCAGAGACTCGGGCCTGGAGTATTGTGGGACGGCTCCCAGAGCCCACCTTCTGGCATGGCAGCGTCAGCATCTTCCGCCAGTTCATGCCCCAGATGCCCTCGGGTGGGCGTGGCTTTGAACTGACCAGTGGCAGCAGTGACCTGGATGTGGCCCGGCCCCGGCTGCCGCAGAGCCCCGGCCAGCTGCACTAGCCCCGGCCCGGCCCGGGGAGGGCCTCGGTGCAGGTGACACGGCACGTCTGCGGGGGGCGGTGAGCCCCTCCTCCGTGCACCAGGACAGGTTGGGCTCAGCAGGTGGAGCCTGGGTTCGGACTGCTGAGTGAGCCTCAGGCTCTGACCCCAGGAGAGTTTCTGTGCTTGTAGAGCCTGACTCACAGCTGCTGGGACCACAGCTGGTTGCAGATGCCCCTCCCTCGGTCCAGGAAGAGCGGCCTCCCTGCCAGCCCAGGTCTCTGGCTCCAGCAGGTGACCCCTCCTGCTGCCCCTGCCTATGCCTTCTTGCTCCCACCTCAGAGAGGAGGGCCACTTGTGGGTCTGAGTCCTCCCTTGAGAGTCTGGGAGTGGTCCAGGCCGTCCTTCCCAGGCCTGCGTGGAGCATCGGGAAGCAGGCCGACAATGGCTGCAGCGGGTCCCAAACTCCACGTCCACTGCCGGACATCCCAGTGGGTCAGCTCCCCGGATGGAGGGGATCTGCCTGCCTGGCTCCTCCCCCCTGCTGGGGTGTCACACTGAAACACTGGGGTGATCCCAGCGATGCAGCCCAGTGGGACCGGACAGGAGTGTGGCCTTGAAGAGGGCCCCGAGGGATGTGCTGAGTAAATCCTATCTCCAGTGAACCTGGGCTGAGGCAAACGCTGGGTGTCCCATCCGCCCATCCCCAGCTGGCCAATTGCCACCTGCTTGGAGACCTCTCCGGGACTGTCCTCCCAGGTGGATGCAGGAGAGCGCAAAAGCCCACAGGTGCCAGGTGGTAGCTTCTTAGTGGGAGGCCCGGGAGTTTGTCATGGAAGCCCAGCCAGGCAAATGGCTGCAGGGCCCTCGCCCTCCCATGGGAGCAAAAGATCCTGCTGTTTCCAAAGGAAGCCCTGGGCCGGGCGGCCCCCATGGTTGGCTGCAACGTTTGAAATGTAGTTTGGCCCTTCCTTAGAAGAAGGGGGAGGTGGGGAGGGAGGCAGCAAGAAACAGTCCTGGATTGATTCCTTCATGTCTTCCGGTGCCGTTTCTGCAGGGCAGGGTGACGCCCTCCACTCCTCCAAAGCCTGGGGCTTCTCCGGGAGGGTGGCAGGAGGAGCTCCTGGGAAACTCCACAGCTCACGGGTCCCTGGTTTTCTCTGGGGAATGAGTGGTCTTGTCTCCCCCAGATCCCCAAGTAACTTTTGGTTGGATTTGTCTTCCAAAGAAGAGGATGTTCCCATCTCCCTCATTAGAAACATGGAAAGCAAGTGTTCATTGAGTTGCCTTTCCCAGTGAATTAAGTTGGAGATGCGTTCTTACCAGAAAAAAAACCTTCTAGCACTATCCCTCCATAAGCAGCACTGAAACACTTTTATTGGCCAGACGGCATGGGTGGTTCTGGGGAGGAAGTCTTGCGGCCTCAAGAGCTGTAGGCTGGGGTCCCCACCTCATGCCCTCATGGTCAGGTTAGACCCCTTGCTCTGGAACCCCCGACTGGAGCAACTCCAGCTCACAGCCATCCCTTCCCATCCCCTTGGGCATCACCCACCTGGTCACCTCCGCACACCCGTGGCGCTGTGGGAAGATGTGGTGGTGGGCCTGCCTGGGACTCCCCTGCTGGGCAGGCCTAGGCCTGTGGGATCCCTTGGGCCTGGGCTTCTTCGTGCCCAGGTCTCACCTTCCACCCTCCTCGTAGGAGTGTTGTCCTCCCCCAGGCCGTGCTCTGACTCCACGCTCCCCGGGCTGGGGATGCCTGTCTCTGGCTCGGTGCCTTCCCAGCGGGCTAAGTCCCCGGAGGTCACCCGTGCTCTGTGAGGCTGCCCAGGCAGGATGGCTTATCTCCTGGCAGTGGCAGGGGAAGGCCAGGGCTGCACTGCTCAGGACTGATGGGGCCCTGTGCCAGCCGCTGGGGCCTGCCCACTCGGTGAGGGGACATGTCACGCAGGTAGATGTGGCAACTGCTGCCCGGTCATCTGCAGGGCACCCTCCCAGAGGAAGAATGCAGGCCTGGACCTTGTGGGCGCTCTCTGCAAAGGGAGGGTGGACACATGCTGTGGTTGCTGGAACTCTCCCGGCCTCCCTCCAGTGGGGCTAGCGGGGTCTGTCAAGGTCAAGGATTTCCTGTGGTCAGTGACTTACAGGGAGAGGTATCCTGTAACGCTTTTTTGTTGGGATGGGGCACTGCAGACACCTTCTTGTTTTTCTTACAAAACCAGCTTTTGTGTACCGCACAGCAGCCACGGTCAGTGGTGAGGGCTGGTGCCCGCTTGGGCCTTTGTGTGGCCTCCCCTGCAGAAGCTCCCTCACAGCAGGGGGCCCCGCGTTCTGGTTCCTACTCTTTTCTTTCTGGTACTTCACTACGACTAGCTGCCACGTGACTGACCACCTCCGTGTCTGGCAGCTGCGCAGGTGGTGGCTGGTGTGGCTCTGCGCTCGCTCTAGAGTTTTCGCGGGTCCCCTCCACCCAGACCTCATCTTCGGTTTGGAATACGAGGGGTATTCTGTATTCTGTGTAATCCAGCTGTATTCCGTATACAAGACGGCAGCCTTAGCAGCAGCAGGTTCCTGCAGACCCCAGCTGGGGGTCCAGGCTCAGGGACAGCCCTCCTTTGCCCTCCCTGCTCCCCCTGGCAGGGGCCTTCGGCTGTGAGGCCCCCACCACTTGGGGATGTCTGCACACTGACTGGGGTCAGAGATGGGCCAGCTGGGGTCTGCCATCTGTGTGTTGGATATACAGAACTTTTGGTCTATGAGACAAATTAAGTTATGAAAATTCAGTGACTTGTATTTAATGCTGATTTGCTATAAAGTATTCTATATTTATAATTTCAGAGACTCTTGTGTACTAAAGGACACACCCCTTTCGGTGTCCAACATCTAGTTCCAACCCCAGAGGGTGGGGCAGATTTGTCTATTTATTTGTTCTACAGGCCTAGGTGTCCGGAATCCTGTTTAAGATTTTAAGATGCCTTCAATATATACTTTTTGAAATAAAACTATTTCCTATACACCTGGTGTCATGGTCTTTATCCTGCTGCTGGTGTCTTGGAAAGTTGGGCAGAGGCAGAGCAGTGTAGGGCTGTCCCTGTTCCAGCAGGGGAAGGAGACAGAGTTTGGGGTGCCCAGGGCTCATGCTAACAGTCTTGGAGCAAAGCTTTTAAGGCCCTTTGTCTCATCATTACAAGGTAGGAAGTGGTGGGAAGAGGAGGCTGAGCCCCAGACATGCAGAGTGCAGGTGCCCGAGTCCTACCCTCACTTGACACTCCAGAGCTGGTTTGGCCTCCCTGACTCCCCCTCTTGGCACTCTGCCCCCTGCCTCGCTTTCCCCTACTCCTGAAGGTGGTGTCTCCAGTGGTCAGACCCCATCTGCAGTGGGCAAACCTTAGACCTGGGGTAGGGGGAGAGACCATGGGTCCCTTGGGCCACGAAGCTCAGAAAGGCTCCTTACCTACGATCCAAGGAAAAGGCCAATGCCTGGGCAGGGAAAGGGAGCATTTTGGGGCCATAGTTTATCATCTTTTTAGTAACTTCACCAGGGGCACCTGGGTGGCTCAGATGGTTAAGCGTCTGCCTTCAGCTCAGGTCATGATCCCAGGGTCCTGGGATCGACCCCCACGTCGGGTTTTCTGCTTAGGAGGGAGCCTGCTTCTCCCTCTCCTCCTACTGCTCCCCCTGCTTGTGCTCTTTCACTCTCTGTCAAATAAATAAATAAAATCTTTAAAAAAAGTAATAACTTCACCAAAGTAGACTTGAGACAGCGCATAGCCTGGGCGTCGGTTGTTGTACCTGAATATGGTCTTTACCGGAGTGCCCCAGCGGTCAAGGAATAAAAGGAAAGATGTTTAGATGGGTTCTGAGTCTAAAAGAGATCATTGTCCTCCTCAGACTCCAGGAGGAATTTGGCATCGCATGGGGCTGGTGTTTCGGGAATGTCCCAGTGATGGGATTTAGGTAGGGCTTGACTTAAGCTCTTGGTCACGACCATCACTACCCAATTCAGAATTTGCTCTGTGCCAAGCACTGAGCAGGGACCCTATGCTCCGGGTAGGGCGGTTGTAAACTGTGTGCAGTCCTTAACACCCATCCCCTCCCCCTGAATCTGGGGAGTGATGCTCTGGTGACTACCTGGACCAACACAGCCTGGCAAAGGTGACGCTGACTTAAAGGCTATGTCATAAAAAGGGCTCACAACTTTGGCCCGTTGCAACATCTGTCCTTGGCAGCCAGCCACCATGCTGGGAAGAAGCCTGTGGAGAGGGGCCTAGGCCCACAGCCAGCACCATCTTGCCAGGCATGGACCCCCACCCTCCAGCCTCCAGGGAAATCCTAGGGTGGTTTGCCATCCAGCCGTAGGTAACTGCAACAGTCCTTGTCCACAAAGTGCGTACTGTTACTAGCTCCATTAAAAATGAGGAAATGAAGCAATCACTTGGTTGGGTCACAGTGCTATAAATAAAGCTGAGAAGGAATTTGGGTGCCAGCACCCACGCAATCTTCCTCCATGATCTAGCACCCGGCCCTGCTGTCCCTGTGGCTGCTGAACCCGGGGACCAGCAGGGCCTCCTGTCATTCTAAACCTGGCCTGGCCTGAACTCCAGGCCCCCTGGACAAACAAAGCAAGTTAGGACCCTCCCAAGGGAAGGATCCTGTCTGTGGTCCTCTGCCAGCCAGGGTCCAGAGCTTGCTTAACCACAGGCCCTTCCCTCAGGCTCCCCAGCGGGATCTGCTGCACACTAGCAAGGCAGAGTCAAGCGAGCAAGGTCATCATCAGGGGCCCTGGCCACTCGGTTCTGACTCCAGAGACTTAGTAATGAATTCTACCCCCACCAGCTGGCAGCACCACAGCTGTGAAACAGGAATGCCCCCACTCCCCGTTCTAGAACCCTGACAGGGACCAGACATGGAGGGGAGCACCTGGGCGTCTCGCTCTGCTGAGGTCTTCCCAACAAGGTGGGGAAGCTGCTGGCTGAGCAGCACCCCGAGGTGCAGAGATGGCCAGGCAGGGACCGTTTCTTCTAGAGGACATGATGGGAAAGCAGCACACTCCCGGAGACCAGCTACTAGGGAACAACTAGATAGCCTGAAACGCTGGAGTCCAAAGATGTGTGGTTTATTGGGGGCTGGGGCCAAGTGGGCTGTGGCGGTAGGGCGGCTACGTGTCACAGTCCTCGGGGATGGCCGCCGTGATGATGAGTGAGGGCTCCATGACGCCTGGGCTCACCAAGCTCTCCTCCGCACAGAGTCTCTGGCCGGGGAGCTGGGAGGTCAGGCCGCCCTGGGCCAGGGACGCCACGATGAC